ATGCGGCGCCAGAGGGGTTGGTGAGGGCTGTAGGTTCCTATAGGGGTGAGGGCTATGGGCTCCTGTAGGGGTGGGTGGACTGTAGGTTCCTATAGGGGTAGGGGGGCTCTATAGGGCCCTGGGCAGCAGGGCGGCGGGGTTCATAGAGCCCAAGGTTGTGGAGGAAATGGGGCTCTGTGGGAGATAGGAGCCCATGGGGGGGATTCTATAGGGTCCTGGGCTGGTCTGGGGGGAGCTCTGTAGGGGACTGTGTGAGAATGGGATTCTATAGGGGGGGTGCGATGGCACGGCTGGGGCTGCACAGTGCCTGGGGTCAGCAACAACTTGGAGTATCCTAGGGGCCCTATAGGGCATCCCAGGGGCTGTATGGGGCATCTCTGGGCCATATAGAGCATTCTGGGGCCTTATAGGGCATCTCAGGCGGTGTATAGGGCATGTCTGGATCATATACGGCATCCCAGATTCCTATAGAGGATTGTAAGGGCTATGTGGGGTCTCTGTGACATATATAACATTCCAGGTCCCTACAGGGCATCACAGGGGCTGTATGGGGTTGCTGGGCCATATAGAGCATCCTGGTGCCGTATAAGATTGTAGGGTTTGTATAGAGCATATCTGGGTCTGTATAGAGCATCATAGGGCCATATAGGGCATTCTAAGAGCTGTATGGGGTATTTCTGGGATATATAGGGCATCATGGGGACTGTATGGGGCATCTCTGGGTCATATAGAGCATCGCAGGGCCCATATAGGGCATCATGGCAGCAGTATGGGGTATCTCTGGGCCATATAGAACATTGCAGGACCCGTATGGGGCATCATGGGGGTTGTATGGGGCATCTTTGGGCTGTATAGAGCATCACACGGCTCATATAGAGCATCATAGGGGCTGTATGGGGCATTTCTGGGCTGTACAGAGCATCGCAGGGTCCATATAGGGCATCATATGGGCTGTATGGGGCATCTCTGGGCTGTATAGAGCATCACAGGGCCCATATAGGGCATCATGGCAGTGGTATGGGGCATCTTTGGGCTGTATAGAGCATCACAGAGGCCATATTGGGCATCATAAGGGGCTGTATGGGGCATCTTTGGGCCATATAGGGCGCCGCAGGGGATCCTGGGGCCATAGGGGGCCCCTATAGGCCCCCTATAGGCCGTGACGCTGCTGTGCCCGCAGGGGGGGGGCATGGCGGGGCCAGGGGGGGCCCAGTGGTATGGGGCATCTTTGGGCTGTATAGAGCATCACAGAGGCCATATTGGGCATCATAAGGGGCTGTATGGGGCATCTTTGGGCCATATAGGGCGCCGCAGGGGATCCTGGGGCCATAGGGGGCCCCTATAGGCCCCCTATAGGCCGTGACGCTGCTGTGCCCGCAGGGGGGGGGCATGGCGGGGCCAGGGGGGGCCGAGGGCCCCAGCCCCCGCATGAGCGTGGCCTCCCAGTTCTTCAGCGAGGAGGAGTGCGGCAACGACAGCATGAGCACCTCCGAG